GGAGGTTATTTTTTTCAATTGGGGCTGATATTATGGGCGCTGTTTCCATTTGCCTTTTGACGGGCCATCCCATCAAAAGGCTGGCTTCGCACATTTTGTCAGCTGGAAGAGTTGCTATATTTTGCTAAAGAACTCGGGGTGTTTTCTTGCTGGTCTCGCTCCTCCTAGCGTACCTCTGGTTACTTTTTTACCCTTTCGGTATAAACTTATAAAAACTTGCAGTCCATTACTGACCTTCCACTGGGCGGTGACCAGACACAGGGGGAAGACCTGGTATAGGGTGAGCACCCCTTGGTAGAGAAACATCTGTCTCCTCCATTGTCGGCTGCAGCCGTAGGCTTTTCAACGGATCCACTCGTATGCTTCCTGTAACGATCTTATTGTTGACGTTTTTGAAACCTTTTAACCTGAACAAGATTAAAGATCAGCGAATGCTATTTGACTTCTTTGACTACCTTTGCGCTGGTTCAAAAAACTCACGTAGCCTAGATTTCTTGGGCTTCAGTGGAGGACCAGGAGATTTAACAGGAAGTATTGCTGTCCTTGTGCTGTTACTGTACACTAAAAGTGGCAAGATTTGTTATTTGTTTTATAACCATCGAGAAACCCGAGAGAGAAATCAGAACATCTTGGTGGACATGGTGTTTACTGTAGACTCTTCCAGCTCAATGTTGCGCTTGCGCTACCAAGAGGTCAATCTGTGCCAGTGGTCCGAGGAAAGCATCTTCAATCATGGGCGGTGAAGTCGAAAGACTGCCTAATTTCCAGCACTTTGTCTGCCTGTCGGTCCGTATGTCTGTCACGAAATTCAGTAGTACCTGAAGATTCACTTGAGGGTGGAATGGGTGATTCCACTATTTTCGGTTCCGAGAAGTGTTAAGGATCCGAGAAAAGTGAAGGAGTTATAGAAGGAGCGGAGGTTATATGTCGATGGTGGGCGTGTCGTGCACCAGCGTGGGCGGAGTTTGCTACCACATTTACAACTATGTTCCAAGAAGTATCGAAGACAGCCGCGAAAGTGTATGGAGTTGACGAAGGAGGTCAACTGTTACTGGAGTCGGGGGTTCGTCAACAAAGTGGGCGAGTTTGCACGGAACTTACATATTGTTTCACAGACGTATGAAGTGGACAATGGTGAGGAAGTAGAAAAGGTCAAAAGCCTCGGTGGGTGGACATGGCCATTGGTGGTCGGCGCTGAAATCCAAATTGGCGATGTGATCCAGATAGCCCATAGACGGAATGAAAGCGGATCTAGCTGGAAAGGCTGAGTGGAATATTCGTAGTGGATCAGGCTGATTCGAGAATTCTGGCCGCTCGTTCCATATCGCCGCAGGACTGTGTTGTGCGCGCGGTGCGCGTGCGGCGCGAACTGGTCTACCGTATTTACCTATCTCACATACCTTATAGTGCGCCCAAATGACTCCAGTTTTCGAAAGAGGATCACAACTCCACGTTATTTCGGTAGAAGACTATATCCGTGACAAAAGTGTAACGTAAGGCCGATGTCAGACTTTGCGAATCGCGCGATTCGCTAGCGTCCGCGGTCGCGTTGCGGTACCAGCCAATTGAGTGATTCACTGGCCGCGACGCGACCGCGGACGCTAGCGAATCGCTCGATTCGCAAAGTCTGACATCGGCCCAAGCGAAGTGTAAACATGTGTTCAGAGGCGGAGTTACGTCGAAGAGGCGAGTTAAGGGGAATTTTAAAATCACCACTCTTTCTATTGCGCTCTATTCACCTATCAGCCTCGTGTTTGTGGAAACTACGTGTGACCTTCTAAATGTATTTCCTCTGAACCTTACCGCTTCTTCTCCTCGTTGGTCTTCTAAACTTTTCGGAGCCTTGAGTTGGATCGACTTTTGGAGGTGGTACAAAATCTTCTCCCGAGTCGCTCTCTTAAGTATATGAGACAGTAACACTGAAGCGAAACCAGTTTTAAGAACTACTAGAAATTGAGTTAGATTGCAGACTATTTTGCCCATTTGGCTTTTTCCTATAGTGATGTTTTCAGGTTGAGGCAGGTAAAGCTATGGGAAGTGATAAGAACTTTTGGAACTTTGGAATTTAACATTGTCGAGCCCCAAAAATGGACTGGAAATTGGAAGCTAAAGGTGCTAGAATGTTAAGGTGAGTTTGAACACTCCTTCGGTTCTTTCTCTCTGGATGTTTTTATTGAAGGAATATCATCATTCCTGCGGCCATATAGGACTAATCACACTTGTAGACAAACGTCGTGCCCAAAACTTATACCTCCACATCTTCACTGAGAGAGCCCCGTCTTGAAGGCGCTGTCCGAGTCGGTCGTTCGACCATAACAATCGCCCAACATTCGCTAGATATGGTCGATGGTCCAATCATGCGATCGGAACAGTCGATCGATACGCATACAATGCAGTGCGATCGATACAATCCCTACGATCGTACGAGTAACTATGAAAGTGTCCCAGCAGCCCAGTGGCGCCACCATGCACTAGGTAAGGCTGTGCTGATTACTGAGTCGCAGACTATGGTATAGCCTAATGTGGTTCCCACCACATATACGCGAAGTATGAACAGCAAAATAATTAGCTCATTTCTGAGAGCATGCTCCCCGAGTAAATCGTGGGCGCATTCAATTTTGCGAATACGGTGGCTGACTCAACAACTGGGTAGGGTATGTCGCCCGCGCAACTTGAAAACTCGTGGTAGGCCGATGTCAGACTTTGCGAATCGCGCGATTCGCTAGCGTCTGCGGTCGCGTCGCGGCCAGTGAATCACTCAATTGGCTGGTACCGCAACGCGACCGCGGACGCTAGCGAATCGCGCGATTCGCAAAGTCTGACATCGGCCTAAAGGAGGCCGGGGTTTATGGCTTGCATCGATGCAGCATTCCTCCACCGGGCTACGCTGCTATCTTCGTCTCGCTCGAGCTCGCGCTATATTGTATTATTGTCTGATAACCGTTTAAGCTGCTCGTCCACCCTGACACTTCGGTGCCACTCTCATCAGTGCGCGTCTCACCCCCCCCCCCTCGCAGAAAGACCTTTATTTTGGCCGGGGTTTTTCGTTTAGTTCTTTGCGCGGTGAGCCTACACTTGAATCCTGTTGGTTCATTTTAGTTGCGCATTTACCCCAACAATCCTCAAAAATACAAAGTAGTTAGTGTTACGTGATTGTTGCGTCGGTTTCTCCTTATCCTTCCTTGCTTTCCGAGCTGTTTCCTTGGTGTCTTTATTTGCCAGAAGGGAGACATTGGTCTGAAAATCGCTCGTGAAAGGGAAAATAAAGAACCTTATGGTCAAGTGGGTAAAGCACTAGTATGATGGATATATATTCTCCCTTTCAAAAAACGAGAAGAGCGTCGGGTGCAGACCATACACCACAAGTGACGACGGCCTCCACAAAATGTAAATGTTTTCTGCCAATGAAATGATTAGCCTGTTGCAGTTGTATTCTATCAGTTGTCACTAATTACAACTATCATTTACCCATTTGCGACCGCACAGGATTGCGCAGCAGCAGCGTCAGGAGATTTTTCGAAAATTTTCCAAATTCCATTTCAAGCCCTGCAGCCACAGTAATACCATTGTCCCGAGTGAGAGCTTTGTCAGCCACCGGTGGCTGACATTGTCACGAATGGGTTAAAAAAATCAGCTATCACTATGAACCACTACTAACCAGATTTACTTGGAGGCCGTCGTCACTTGTGGTGTATGGTCTGCACCCGACGCTCTTCTCGTTTTTTGAAAGAGAGGTACATGTAGCATGGACTGCTTTATCACTGCTTTTGGAAAGAGCAACCTTTCCACTTTTACTCGAAGCCATAGAAACGTTAGAATAGATACTCGAAGTTTATGGACCGGCGTTGGAATCAGCTCTCGGGTTAGGAGGTTCGGAGCGCCTCTGAGCGATACACTCCCCTCATCCCCGCCCCGTTTCCGTTTTTGCAATGTGCTACTATTGGCTCTAGAAGTTGTTGTACTCTGGTATGAATTCTGACGGAAGTAACCAACTGAAAAGAGCTGAGGCATGCAGGTACGCGCCCTTTGGAACGGAAGGATGGCCCTCTCGCCGATGTTTTGATCAAATGTGAATTTCTTCTGATAAAAGTTTCAAAAATCCGGTGATATTATGAGGCAAAATATTATATTAAAGTTTTGACTCCGTAATATTTCTCACCAGGCTTGGCATGAGCCTCAAGGGCTCTGCTGTCAGCAGATCCACTTCTGATCTCGTTCGAGCAACTTCCTGTGCTGTAGGCGGTAACAAACGGAATAAAATCAACCGTGTCGAAGCATTGCTTTGCCAACAGTAGTGCGGCTATAGCGATAAGAACTGGAATGAAGATGAATGCCAGCAGTTGAGTAGTGACCCAAATACAAACTTACCGCAAGCTATAAATATCCTTTCTAATGCCAAAGCAATCATGTGACACCATCCAAAGCCAGCATTCCTCCAGGCTACCGCTAGCATACATGGTGGAGAAACGGCATTGATTTGGGACTGCAAAAAAAACAGGGATCAACAGCAAAATGATGGACCTTAAAGACAAGGTCCGCCATAGAAATGATGTGTTATAGCATCAGAACAGG